CACTCCATCGATGATCTTATTCCGATAATACTGAAATCAGGCGCTGAAAAAAATCAAGAGTGAATGAATTCCGTTAGGACCGTATGACATAGTATGTTTTTGTATTTTTTTTTTACAAAATTAGAATGCATAACTTTGTTCTTTCACGAATATTTCTTTGACGGAAATTTCAATCTGCTTACGTTTTAAAATAAGATTAGTCAACAAAAATACACATCACTCATCCTAGTTTTGATTGGTCAAAAAATATCTAGCTCTACTGTAATAATACTAATTCGAAGCTCTCGTATATCATCTCGAAGTAAACCAACAAAACCGCTTTGTATTCTTATTTTTTATATACTACATGTAAAATAACCCAGCGGCCTTCGATCAAAATATTACATTTTAAAAATGCATTATTTAAGATTTAGACAAAGAACAGGTCGTTTAAATATAGATAATAGTTTAAAAATAGATGGAAGAAAAATTATTTTATTGAAAATCTAGTTAAATTAGTTTATTCTGAGCCAAGTTATGAGTATTTGAAGCTTTGACAATTAGTGTCAAGTATCATTATCTATTTTAACGTTATCTATTCAAAATATAAGTAATCCAATGGTCTAGAGAGTTGAATATGGGCATGCCTTGTGAATAAATGTCTATAAAATAATTCATAACGATATGATATTTGAAGTCAGAAAAAAGACCTGCAATAGTTAGATGATTTAGCCCTTACATAATGCATCTTTAATTTACTATTGTGAGTTAACTAGATGTGGAGCGTCCTTGGGCTGTTAGTTTAATTTGGGCCTGGGAACACTGTAGCTCATTTCTGTACATAATCATATATCCTGTTTCTATTTTGTTTTTACATTTCTGTCATAATACAAAGGGGGAAGGGGGTGTTTAATAAGATCACAATGAATTAAATAAGTTAAATATTACAATGCGCTAGCTATTTATACTTCAGCGCATGTATTATTATTAATGATAATTAATTTATATAGCGCCGACAATTCAACTCAGCGAGCTGCTCTCGGGCGCTTTACATAAGTGCAACTAATATGAAATTACAACAATCACAACACATTAAAGGACAATATTGGTGTCCAGTCATTATCGTGATGAACGCCAAAGGAAAAAACTAGTTATCCCTCTTTATAACTGACCGAAGTGACGAGTGATAATAGATACATGGGCGAATTTCTGCTTACTAATAATTCCTTCGAAGATCAAAAGCTGTTATTTGAGACTGTAAGAGGATATCTGACAATTCAAAAAAGTAACCGAATGTCATAAGGTAAGAGAACACGAGAAAAATAGAAATAGTCCGCACAATCCCTTGTTTTTATTCATTCTATACTTAATAAAACATGGTAATGCACAGACTTTTTTCTTTTTTCCTTTCATGTTCTCTTATCTAGTGACAGTTCTTTTTATCAATTGTCAGATATCCTCTCACAGTCTCGCACAACAACTTTTGGTCTTCGAAGGATTTATTAGTGAGCAGAAATTCGCCCATGTATCTGTTATCACTTGTGACTTCAGTCAGTTATATAGAGGGATAACTCGTGTTTTCGTTTTGCGTTCGTTACTTCCGATTGTTGAAACCTGCATTAGGCATCTATCGTAGCAATGATCTCTGCGTTAAAATTATCACTTGTGACTTCAGTCAGTTATATAGAGGGATAACTCGTGTTTTCGTTTTGCGTTCGTTACTTCCGATTGTTGAAACTTGCATTAGACATCTATCGTAGCAATGATCTCTGCGTTAAAATTATATTTGGAACGTGCTTAACCAGTTCTATCGCATATGTGATAATGACTGACACCAATATTGTCCTTTAATCCATAAAAAAAGACATAAACAAAACAGAGAACGTTATTTAGTACACATGGTAAAAATCTGACACAAATACAACTAGAACCGTATTCAATCAGTAGTATATTTGATTAAAAAGTTCGGTTTTGAGATACTTTTTAAAACCTTTAATAGAATTTGCGCTTTTGGTTTCGTTTGCTATTGACTTCCATAACTTCAGAGCACCGACTGCGAAAGATCTATCACCGGAGTTGGTTTTTGAAAAAGGCTTAATTAAGAGGTTGTCTGATTGTGATCGAAGGGTTCTGCAAGGTTTATTGGTGTTGAGAAGGTCTCTAAGGTATTGTGGTGAAGAATCGTCATTTAGAGCAGAATACGTAATAGATAGTACCTTAAAATTGATACGTTGACAGACTGGACAACAATGGAGATCTTTCACAATTGGTGGCATGTGTTCATTGGTTTAGTCTTGTTTATAATCCGAGCTGCTTTATTTTGAAGTTTCTGAAGTTGTTTAATTCTATTTTCAGGTAGATTGTACAAAAGTGAGTATTGATGTAACCATAGTGTTTACCCTCATTTTAGTCGTGTCACTATCAATGAAAGGTCTAATTTTTCCTATATTATAAATCTGAAAATTAATACTTTTTTAAACATGGTCGAAATTTGTTTATTCATGTCCAGATTCGAGTCAAAATAAACTGAATCGGTTGGTGTAATAGGAATTGTCAATTTGATAGTTTTCTGTTTTAGATTTTAGTATGTGCTCCCTTTTGCAAACTTTCATTATTTCTGTTTTGTCATCGTTGAGTTTTAATAAATTCCAGTCCATCCATGAATATCTGATAAACAGGCTAGAACCATCATTATAGTGTCTAACTTAATAGCGGCGACTTAAGAATAATTATGTAGATTGTGAATCCCTATCCACCATTTTGAAGCATCCTGGATGACACAAGTGTTACCTAATCGCTGGTAGGATTCACGGGGCAGGGGTTCGAATCTCGGTGTCGGCTGACCAGAACATTTTTCAATCCCGGTTCTAGCTCCTCAGTTTCAATGCCTGAAAGGCCGAAAATGAACGGAGATCCTCACTTGTAGGCCTACACATTCACGTTGAACATCGAAAAAATAGTAGGGTTACATCCCACCCCCAGGGTCGAATTCTCCTATTGTATTGTGTTGACGATATGCTTTAAGAATCGAGACCGTAAAAGAGAGTCATGGTGCTTCAATAAGGAAAATGTTGGCTCGATATCCCGGAGGCCCCGTGTGCCATCCTTGTGTTGAACGAGAAAGTTCATCGTGATTTTCCAGCGCGGTTCCCCCGCAGGCCTAGCAATGGATAACGTAATGTGACGTAATAGAACCACTGACAGTTGGAAATCGATATAGGAGATGGTTATAGTGCGACTGTTCGCCTTGCTTATATAGCCTAGTCGGCACAGAGCAGTAGGACGTTAAACCTCATTTTATTTCGCGACTGTAAAAGCAGTTTATCATTAAATTTATCCAGTTATTTCTTATGTGAATTACTTCCCTTTTCCAATTTTTGCTTTGTGAGTTTCTTCGTTTATTTACTTACAAACTGAATTAACTGTTTCTGTAACATATCTTACACGCGCAACCAATCAGGATTTCAAACTAAGATACAGTAATACAATAATTGTATGTTTGGAAATTTCTTCCCTTTTTCATAAGGGTGTGGAGAGCGTCGAGTAGTCTAACGCCTGTGCTTTATATCATAAGGTCTGTCATTGAGTAAACTGACTGCCTTTTTGTCACTTGCAAAATATGCAAAGCCTGTGTCACTGTATAACCCGGCACCCGGATCGATTTGCTTATTTGGTAGGACTGTTTATTAGGTGCAGTGGGTGAGGTCAAAAGCAACATTGAAGTAATTTTTTAGACTTAATGTACCACTGGTGCAACCCATATCTTTACTTTTTACCTCCAATAAAGTGTTCAACAGAAAGGGGTATAACTTCAACATTGCTCTGATTTATCCTGCTTAGATTTCATGTGTTTTACATAAATCTTGTAAGACTTTTAAAGCTGAATAATCATATAAGGCGTAAAAATAGCAGCATTTTGTGCATATTAGGAACACTTACTTACTTTTACTTTGACTTCGATTAAGCGTTAACCCCTTGGGGATAATATCACTGTTCCATTAGGGCCCATGTTAAAACATGGGAAAGCGTCTAAGAATTGAAACCAAGAAAATAATCGTGTGACACTTCATTTGTGTAATTAAAAACCAAGAAAATGTTATAAATGTGTCTGCTAGCTTACGATCAACAATTAAAGTTTAAAAAAAATGTTTTACAAGTGCTAGTCTCCTAAGAATCGTATAATTATCCACTAATAATGCACTTTGTAAAAAGAACAAACTAATTAAAGAAAATTACCACAGATTTCATCTTTAAAATTTGATATATTTTCCCACGTGTAATCTTTTTCGTAACCTGGGCATCGAAAAACGGCACCAGGTTAACTCTATTACTGACACCGAAAAGTACTGACTATTTGTTCTGACCTCATACAATGGCCATATTTTCTGGATGTCTAGTTCTGAAAATGAAATAATGTGGGGTTTAGCGTTCGGCTTTTCTGCATCGACTGGGCTTGTGAAAATAAACATATGTCAGGCGGTGTGCTATGAGGAAATTTTGCATGGACAACGGCCTACTCTTTTTTCAAATTCCAACTATCAAGGGTTAATTTACGTTTACGCCAATGGGTATACGGTATGTCGGTTTTTGTACCATCCGAACGACTAAACGTCCTGTGGATTGTTTTTTCCGCACTTACTACATACATAAATCCAATCACTAACGTTATTCATATGTAAATAAGATAATGACACGTAAACATATTTAAGCAGAATGTAGAAGAATGATTCGCAATATTAATATTAGTTATTAAATTATACAGATCTTCCAGAGACATAAATCAATTAGCGATACATGTAAAGCGGTAGCTGTTAAATAAATAAATTACTTTGTGGTATATCAGGTACCGGTATGTATGGTCCAAAGCAAATCAATAGTGCAAAGCGACACCACAATTTCCACGTTGCCAATAAGCTTACTCTCTCTCACTATACGCACTGGGCTACAGTACTGGAGACTGCTACATACGCTTACACATGTAGTTTACATTGGTTTGTTGTATTAGCAAGATAAAACCTCTGGTACTGTACGATTGGGATTTAGAACTCAGCACTTAAGGCAATGTCGTTCACTAAGTTAAGACCTTTTCATAATTAACAGGGTCTAAGTGTAAACTTCACACACATACACACTGCGACTGGTTTCCATTTGCAAGCGACAGCCATTTACTTATGAGTTTTGAGTTGAGTTATTACTGTGATCCCGGGTTTGTTTGTGTTCATTTCTGGGATTTCTTCCTTAACAACGAATGGAGTTTTCCGTGTGATACATACAGGAATATGAAGGTAAATTATATATTTTTCAATTAATATATGTTCTGTTTACGTGTGTAGATGCAAAACATAAGATTTCAAAACGTTTCACGAAAAGGGCTTCCGTGGGTAGGTCATTTTTACATTATATACAGGGTATGTATGAACAAGCAGAACCAGTGATAATTTTATAAGCATGTTGAATAATATCTACATCGTTTTGAAGGTTAGATTAAGTATCTCTGAAATAGAAAGTGGGAGATTTGTGGACTAATTGTAGGCAATACTTTGGTTATTGGCGCAAATAACTTTAGATAGTAGTGTGAGAAAGCGTTCTTACAATTACTCTTTGTCACATACTGTCATAGCCCAATAGGGGGAGTACGCCGCCACCTCCACCCGCCCACTGACCCTCTCCTGTAACTATTAGATTTTTTAACTAAAAAATAATAATGATGCATTGATATTTACATATACGGAACAGAAACCTCATTAGATTGCGAAGAAAATAATTAAAAACGCTTAATCAGTACTAACAGTACGTATAGGTCATGTCAATCGGATGTTCTGATGCTTGAGATAATGAATTAGAAAAAATATATAAAACTAACCTTTTGCATATTGTGGAAAATTTATTTCAGTATTTTATTTTGAATTTTAAATCTCCAAAGGTTTTCATTTGTAGTTTATTGGGGTTTTTTTTACTGAAAAGAAAAACATTATATTCGTAGAAATTGATAAACGCATCGAATAGGCTTACATACACAAGAGGTTCATTTACTTCTAGAACATTCCGTAACGAATGTATAATATCAATATTAATTTTAACACTGTACATTTTAATATGTGTCACCGATATTAATTACTCATTGCTGATAACGCTAGAGCAATTTTTCGTTGATGAAAGTCGAAGCAATGTAAACTGCTCAAATGACATTTAACGGTAATAATACGGGTAAAACTTACATATAATTTTTATCATAGTAAAGCGTGGAGTTACAAAATCGATACATATATATTTAATGATTAATACGCTTAAAAAAATAGAGGTGATAAAAATAAACTTAGTGCGCAGTTCAATAAATCAGCAGAACACACATGTAAATGATCGTGTGTTTTTTACAGGTGCAAATCGTTGTTAGCATGTTGAGTTTGATCAGAAATATGAACGAGTAATAAGATATTGCAGATATAGAGGAAGTAAAATAAACAGAACATGTAAATATATATATCTTATCATTTCTCTGAACATTGATAAAAAACGCTCTTATCTATAAACATGAAATTTAATGATTTACATGGAATTATTTTATCATGGAAAAAGCTTATTGCACTATATCATGCTGTTTAAAGGCATACACACTTAACAAAGGAAACGGGCGCTTCTCTTAAGTGTGTTGCAACTTGATCCAAAAATTTAAGTAGCCGGTTTTATATATTGCAGACTCCTTACTCATCATATTATAAGCACTTCCTCTAGTGTTACAATTTAAACAGTCTGCATCACTTTCATTTTGAATGAAGATCTTTTAAAATGCTAGTTTGTTGCTTTATGAGGATTTAAAAAAAAACCAATTACAAATGTAATTGGAGGAACGCTTGACTATGGCGAGTTTCTTATTATTTAAAAGTAAAATATTATAATATTATTACTAAAGAGACTCAGTCCTAGACCTAAATACACATATTTTACACACCACAGTAACAGGAAGCTCTATGGTGAGAAAAATATTCAAAGTTGTCTTGAATTACAAATATTATTTGTATAAAAGACCTAGAAATTTGAAGATTGGATTATTGTTGGAATCCTAAGCAGCTGCGTCGTAAAATACATTAAAACTTATTTCCCATGAATTATCAACAAAAAACGCCCACGCCACTGTCGAGATAAATTTTGATATTATTGAAATATTAAGCATTTTGGCATATAGATGTAAACATTATTTTAACCACTGACAAAATTGTAAAGCAAACATTACGTAAGTTTACATATAATAGGTTATTCAAGATAAAAAAGAAATCCCAGGAATATTTGTTTTTTCTTTTTTTTAAAAAAAAAATCCAACCTACTGAAAACTAAACTTACAGAATGAAGTCAGTTCATATCCAAATTTAGTACCAAATAGTACTGAAATAGCCTATTTATGTGATTTTAGTCATTCTGGAATGATCGCGCTGGGTTTAGAACCACGGCCCATTGTTTACGTTTGATGAGTGACCACAACCAAACAAGCCAGTAATATAAACATGATTATCTAGAAACTACTGAAGTTGTCTGTTTAGAAATTAGTGGCGCATAAAAAAAATAATAAAACTGACCCTTTGTATTGCTTTGAAACGTTGTCACAGCTTATCACTGCAGTCTTGAATGATCATTTCACAGCGACCAAACTAGTGTTATTCATTAAAACATATCCGAAAAGGTCCCGTTAGGAATGTGCATGAGATGATACTAATGTGTGTGTGTATATGTGTGTGACCAAAGTGAAGACAGACGTGATTCATCTTTTCTTTTATTTTTTGTGTTTTTGATATGGTAACTGATCGCTTATCCTTATCCCTCGACTTAAAGACATTGCAGGATTGCGCCAATAAAGATGATGTGAACCTTATAAGTGAAAAAATGTTATGGTTTCTCATAACAAATTTGAAATCGTGTCATTACCATGGTACATTTACTTCCTTCTTTAGAAAAACCGAGTAAGGCCAATATTATTGATAACGGGAGATGATATGCCATAATTAACAATTTTGCATATTAATTATTCAAGATCTATAAATACCTGCATCTTTACATCTACATTGCAGTACAGGGAAATAATCAAAACGTATTATACAGGTTAGGAGATATTTGTCGCCACATCTTTCGCATTTGAATATGCCCCCACGATATTTCATCAATCAGTATTATGGTTTAAATGTTAGATTACAACACACTTACTCGTAAAGTAGTTCGATAGGCCTACGGTTTGTCTGTTTTATACACGCTAGTCATTTACTCTTCTCAAATTTAGAAGCCATTCCGACCAATATTCCAATGGGATTTATTCGAATGAGCCAATGTCTGCGCCTATGGTGTGACAATATTTAACATAGTCTTTGATTTCTTATGGATTTTTCTCCGTCGTTCGACTTTATCCATGTGTTCCCCGTACCAAATTCTCATGGAATTAAAGTATTTTCAATCTAGAAATCTGTTTCCCATAACTCTTCGACTTTTTCTAAGCTCCTATAATCCAAGTTTATCCAGACTTAATATAGTTTCCAGCGGGTCAATTAAACGATGAGGGTAGTGGAAGAATTAAGTCAGTTAAATTTAATATATTAATACATGTCTGGCATGTCTTACGCTATATATTCCTTAAGGACGGGCAAGACATTGTATTGTTGAAATTAGTTTATAACTGTACTACTCTATAAATAACAGTTCTATTCATATTCTTTTCGTGTTAAATATTCAATATTGGTATTTCCTCAACCCAAATCGACGCGTGTCCTACAGGAAGCAGAGAATCTAGAGCATTTGGTGTCGCTTCTGAATTTTGGATACTTTTGTACTATTTATATATATCTTCTATGCATATATATTCTCTTATTACAATCCGAAAATGAAGCACCGTTATCATGGCGGAGTTTAAAGCTACGTTTGATTAAAGGAGCTAAGTCGCTAATATTTGGGACCTAGAAATTGACACAAATGAGTCGCAATGCATACACAAATGTAATATGAATGTATATAAATTGATTTACATTCAATCGTTTCTGTTTTTACTGTAATTTCTAATTAGTTAGGTTCGGCGAAATATGCCAGTATTCTCAATCGAATTTCAATCTTTAGCGTCTGGTTTTTCCAGTCTACGCCGATAGTATTTATTGGGCATGCTCTCCAGATAAGAATATAGCGTCACCGTTTGACATGACTTGTGGAATATGCCTAGCCTCGTTTTTCGAGTCCCTTATTACAAATAGCGCTGAAACGCATTATGGTACACGATTCGTGTACCAATTGTAAAATGTTTATTTTGTCTTAAATATTGGATATCAGAAGGTTATCTTTTCCCGGTAAGATCACAACATCAATGTTGATTTATAGCGACAAATAAATCGTGTTTTCAATGTCGAAGATTTTTGATGATATTGAGTTAAAGACTTAGCTACTTTAATGTTCTATACCTGTGACCTGTGACATATCACTCTGCTAAAATGGTTATTATTATTTATCTATCACTAACTGCGGCTGCTGTATAAAACATAACGGATGTTTAGCTTTAGACCAATATCTGTAATGAAATTAAATGCCTTTATCTCAGATGGTAATTAGCAACTCGTGTAGCTTTTTTTATATATAATATCCAGTGCATAATATAATGTTTTCACTTTTGATTTATGATGATATGCTGAGTGAGTGCGCATTGGTACGATGCCCATTTAGTGAAGTATTAATCGCAGGAGACGTCAATCGACTTCTATCTTAAGATGCTGAATAATGTCTTCTGGCACAGCAGCTCATACAGACAACTAATCAACAACTTGATTATAACAAAAATAAACTCAGCTAATTTCTGTTTTGTCCAGTTTTTCTAATTTTCTGAACGATTGAGGTATCGGAGTTGCGCAAATTTCCAGAATCTCGCTGGACCAAATTCTAGGACCAACAGTTACATTTAACTCTGATGAAGTTGTTAATTACGCATAGTGGGATAAAGGATATACATAAGTACTTTCTCACAATAACAATTTGCTTAATATGTATAGAAAGACCGAAAGTCTCAGCAACATATTACTAGATATAAAGTAGATGTTTGTTTATATGTGCAATACAGTTTAACTTTGCCCATTGGCCTACTTGTAAATATTTCAGCAAATATACGAATTTAATGTCTTAAATTGTAATGAATAACAGTTGTTTTGAATTTGTAGTAATAGCTTTAAAATGTGTTTTGGGCAATGTTAAGGGTGTGAATAATGGGACGAATCACAATTTAAATTCAGCTAATATCTAGAATCAAATGTTAACTGATATCTAAAGTAAA